GTTCATTAAAATTAATAAAATTTAATAATAATTAAGAAAAATATAGGCTTAGGAGCTTACTACCCAAAGTCATTTAAATTACTTAGTGGTAGAAGTGGGGTTTAAAATCCTGCACTTAATTTTTTTCCATATTTTTAAATTCATTTTAATAGTACCTTTACAGTACGTTTCATTCATATATGTTGTTTTATACAATATATCATTTACATTGTTTCATACAATCATTAATATATATTCTGTTTTACATTATTTTCTATAGAATTTATTTACAAAATTAAAATATTGTTTTTCATACTAGATCTTTCCCAAATTCTGCACTTTCTTCCTGCATATCCTCTCCTCTCCTCTACCATAAGGAAGAATCATGTAATATAAGCAAGTAAACATCAGCACATTGATCTTACCAATGAGAAAATGGAAGAGCAGAAATAGGCAACTACAAAGCCTGGAATGAAGGTCTAGACTAAGATTCTTCAGTAATTTTGGTTACCTTCAAATAAAAAAGCCAAAGCCAACCCACTGCTGTTGAGTCAACTGTGAAAGAGGAGTACTGACCTATGTGGTTTCTTTAAAGGAGCAGCTTAACAGATCTTTATTCCTAAGAAATGTTAGTGGGTTTGAATGACAGATATGGTACACAGCTTTACTTTGCTTGACTCCACAATCAACACTCTTGGCACCAGTAGCCAGGAAATTAAAAGGCGCATTGCCATGGGAAAGTCTGCTGTTAGGGACCTCTCCAAAGTACTGAAGAGCAATGGTATCTCTCTGGAGACTAAGGTGCGTTTGATACAGGCCATGGTTTTCGCAATCACTTGTTATGCATCAGAGAGTTGGACAATGCCCAAAGAGGATAGAAGGAGAACTGATGCCTTTGAGCTGTGGTGCTGGAGAAGAGTATCGAGAATACCATGGACTGCTAGGAAAACAAACAGATTCGTCCTGGAAAGGGTTAAACCGGTGGCTCCTTGGAGGCAAGGATTCTGAGGCTCCTTCTAACATACTTTGGACATGTTGTGAGGAGACCGGTGCTTGGAGAAGGACATCATGCTTGGGAGGGTGGAGGGACAGCGCAGGAGGGGAAGGCCCTCTATGAGGTGGACTGATTCAGTGACTGGCGCAATCGGGATGGGTGTGTCAGAGACAGTGCAATTGGCACAGGACAGAGCAGAGTTTAGGGCTGTTGTACATAGGGTCGCTATGAATTGCAAGCGACTTGATGGCACATAACAACAACAACAACAGCCAAGCTCTAACTAAGCCACTCTAACTAAGCCATTTATAATTAAGTTGAATAAAAAAAGAAACCAATGAATCTCTCATCCACTGACCGTGACTTTACAACTATAAAACAAAATACTGCACAACTTTTCTAAAATACCTCGGCATTGTTACATTTCCTTATCATAGCTTCACAGTGTTATCACAAGTTGTGAAGCATTAAATAGTCATAAAGACATGAACATGAGTCTGTGACCCAAGTTCTCTGAGAAGAATGCAATCCTAATTATTATTTTTATACAATACTACCAATTTTTAAGGTGTAAGATGGGAAAAGGAAATTTACAACCAAAAGTTAAAAAAATACGTAACAAGCATGACACTGTATTTCTATTATTACTTCCCTTAATTCTGGGTCCCTACTTCCTTGAGCTATCATTCCTAGCGTTAATGATAACTGGTAACTGGAAGAAAGGAGTTGGAAAACATGGACTTGGGAACAGAAATGAGGCTGGAAATAGAATGACTGAATTTTGTATTTACAATGATTTATTCATCGCAAAAATCTTTTCTAAATAACACAAACGGTGACTTTACACATGGATCTCATCTGATGGGCTGCATAGGAATGTGACTGACTACATTTGTGGAAAAAATAATTGGAGCAGCTCAATATCAGCAGTTAAAACTAGGCCAGGGACAGACTGTGGGTCAGATCATCAATTACTCATATGCAAGTTCAAACTGAGACTGATGAAAATGAAAATAAGTCCACGGGGGAAAAAAAGACATGATCTTGAGTCAATTCCATTTGAATTTCAAGATCATCTTAGGAATAGGACCTGACACACCGTCAGGTGTGTGACCCGCCCCCCATCACCTCTAGCCAAGGCGAAGCCTCCCAGGTCTGCCCTTTCCCTGCGTGGTCACTGGAGGCCCAGGCCCTTCCACTCTCGCGGCCACAGCCCCCCAACCTGATCATAGACTCCGACTCCTGCACAGCTGCTTTCCACCGGGAGGAGTACTGTCCCAGCCACAAGAGGCGCAGGACTGCGGAGGATTTCAACAAGTTCTGCAGCTTCGTCCTGGCTTATGCCAGCTACATCCCTTATCCGAAAGAGGAGCTGCTTTTGCGGAGCAGCCCCAGCCCTGCACTGTGGGAACCACTGAGAGTGATGGTTGGGATGCCACTTTCACTGACAACCCATCGTCAGTGTCCCTTTCCCGTTTCTGACCACTGCTTCAGTCACCTGCAGCCCACCGTTTTACAGCGGGCGAAGCCCTGTAATTTCCTCTTGGACAGAAAGAAGACTGACAAGTTTTTATAAGAGGAAGTAGAGGGATAGCGATGTGTCTGTCAAGGATGGGTACCTGGGGAGCTTACTGAAGCTAGAAGCTACTGATCCCTATGTGGAGACCCCCATGAGCCCCACCCTGCAGAATATTCCCCAGGCCCCCAGCGACCCTAGTTCAGGCTGGGACTCTGACATGAGTTCCAGTGGCTCTTGTGCCACAGTGTCACCTGATCAGGTCAAAGAAATAAAGACTGAAGGCAAGCGGACTATCATTTGGCAGGGAAAGCAAGTAGTGTTCTGGCACAAGGATAACACTGGCGACAATAAGGATATCACGGTGGATTAGGATGATGATTCCTGGGACCGTGTCACCTGCTTCTGTATGAAGCCATTTGCTGGCCACCCCATGACACACCTGGATTCACCTATCCTGTGCAAAAATTTGGAAATCCAACGTTCCGGAAAGTGTTTGTCTGCCAAAAGTGCCGGGACTCCAAGTTTGACATCCGTTGTTCCAACCATTCCCAAATGGGCTCCCGAAAGCTGTTTCTGGACTGACTGTTGGTATGTGAGGAGATAGGACGAGGGCTTGGAAGGGGCTGTGGGCTTTTTGGCCCCTTTCTTAGTTGAGCACAGAACTCTCAGCTCTGGTGTAGGCAGACCTCTGCCATCCTGGTGCCTAAGGAAAGGACAGGTTCTCCAAGATCTGAACTGTACATAGCCAGTGACTGAATAAAATCTTTACTGGGGGAAAAAAATGCACTGGCACATGGAGAAGCCAACCAAAGGTAAACAAGCTGAGAAAAAGTAAAAAAGTAGTAAAAAAGTAAAGAAGTAAAAGAGCTGAACAGATGATTTCAAAGGGCAGCTTGGGAGGATAAAGCAGAGTATTATAATTGAATGTGCAGAGAGCTGGAATTGGAGAATATAAAGGGAAGAACTTGTTCTGCATTTCTCAAGCTGAGAGAACAGAAAAACAAATGTGAGCCTCATTTCACAATATTGAAAAATGCTATGAGCAATGTATTCAATAACCCAGAAAGCATTAAAATAAAAAAAAAAATGATGGGAAT